GCCATTATTATCAACCATCCATGCGTGTGCACACGCGGAATACTGCATGCGCTATAGGTAAGTCCGCACTACCACGTGCTGTGGGTGGTGAGGTTCCAGGAAGTTGTGGTGTGGGAATGTCTTTCACCAGGAACGCACATGTGCCAGGTTTGGTGTTACGGTTCGAGGTACTCATTGTTCCGCAAGTACAACCCCACAGAGATATTTGGCCGCATTCAGCGGAGCCTCTGCAAGAGCTGTCTGGACTCGCCCTCCTCTGCTCACAACCAAGCTATCATCCTGAGCTTGAGCTAAAAAAATAAGACCATAACATCCACATGGAGGCCTTTGCTCCGACACTACATCGGCTACTACAGCTGGCACGAGTATCTTCACTTCGCACTCGATACAGTCGTTCGATTGCACAAAGAGAGGTCAGTGTGTGTGCATCGCTGCATGAGAGAATACCTGTCAGGAGCAGTGATTCCCTTTCTCGCGCCAGAAACCGTGCCATGAACGGGAGCTATACGTACTTACTGATCACACACTTTAGACCTCCACCGCTGCGTGCTAACGACTCGTTACATGGTGTCCAATTCGAGAATCGAACTCGGGGTTCCACGTCGTGGTTAACGGTTGCTGCGCGTCCGCCTCGCATCAACACTCGACCCCGCGACACGGGAGTCGGACTGGAAACACTTTTGCCGTTGACGTCGCGACGAAGAGGCGTGAGGCGGGGTTCCCTGGTGCGTGTGGTGAAGGGTCAATCTTTCAAATTGTATCTACCCGGGAATTTTCATGTGTAATAGATCGTATCGCCCCCGCTGCCGGTGTGTCGAAGGGGTACTCCGCGGCTATCGGGCCTGCGCTCATGGGTGTGGACAACTGTATTGGTCTACTTCGGTACCCCGTGTACTCAGTCGAAGTGCAGGTTCATTCGCAATGTGCGTGGGTGGGGCTGTTTCGGAGAAATACCCGCAGAAATGACCCGCAGAAATGACCCGCACATTTTCTGGTGCACATCCACCCCGTGACCGGGACGGTACCCACACCAGTGTGTGCCCTCCTCTGCAGCTCCTGGAGTTTTCGTCGGAAGCAAAAAAAAACTGTTCTAGGTCCAAGAATTGCCAAGCAATCAATTCACAACATGAATGATAGAAACAACTCGCCACTGCTGTACCAAGGTTCTAGGACCTATTATCACCAATCAATCAACTTCCAACATGAAAATAGACGACAACTTTGCACTTTTGCAAAATGCGACCCTTGATCACTACGTCAATCACTCAGTTGGGGCGAACTGTAGTCTGACAGGAATCCATTGCTAGGTCGCTCGACGCGAAACTAAGACTTTTATGGCTCATTCTCTTTAGTCACATCGCAGGTTGAGGACTTACACAAAGTTGACCAACATACTTCCAGCGCTCGTTCTCCATTCGGGTGCCTACCGAGATCACCAGCTTTGCTTCCCAAACCACGACAATTGAATGAAGTGGGCTCTCCAGACATGTGATCTACGCTTATAACTAACCCCCAAGGACGTGGAAACTGAGCACACCGTGTTTGTTCAACATGAAGTGAGGAAACATTCCATGTTTGACCCGCGCGGGGGGGCGCGGGTGGTAAATGGGGGCTTCCCTGTCCCCGTGTCCCGATATCCAATTCATTTACTCATGAACGCAATCGAATTCACCGAACGCCAGGGATCTTGACATCGGGCACTCAATCTGATAAGTGAAATCGCCCGTAGTAATTTAGGAGAGATGACTTGGATGGGCTTAGTAGGGCTTTCGTCTTCGGGCAACACTGGACCCATGGGCACAGGACTGTGTATGGAAGGCGCCCCATGTTGTATGTCCTGGTCTTGTGACGTACTGCTTTTCCGCTCTCTTTCTCGGCCGTTCTGTCGACGAGCCCTGACAACCCAGCACTCTTTCTGCTATCTTTCTTCGCTACATCTCGATTTCCCTTTTTCAATTAACTTATCGTCGCCGAAATTTCTCTCTCTCTTTTTCCCTCCCTGCGTAACAAAGGATGGCAACCACCACCAGAAATATCCAAGAAACGCGGCGACACTAAATAAAGCTGTTCAAAAGGCTCGGAATCTACAGAGCAATGGGTGGGGGATACGAGGACTGCTGTCGACCAGGGACGTGTGTTGTCTAGACGATAGATACTTCCTGCAGAGCCCAGGGCACAGACACACGTCTAATCATTGCGCGAATACGACGACACAGTTCGACGTTCAAGCTCACCCATGCCACGATCTAGAGTTATCGCGCCCACGCAGAAGCCCTTGGATCAAGCCATTTGATGGCCACCCGCCGACGATCCCTTTTACGTAGGTGCTGTATTTGAACGGCATGAAACCAGAAGAAACGAATACGACGACACACAAAAGCGCTTTTTACAATGACAGCAGAAAAAACAGCGACGTCCTTTTGTTTCCGTCTGCACTCCCTCCGTCTTGCGCTGCTCTGACTTTTGTTGTCTTCTGCTCGGGCGTGGAATGCGACCGACGACAGGAAGAGACGGGGGTGGCACACCCCCGCGACGAGCCCCTCGACACGTCCCGCATAGACTACATCCGGATGGGCACGACGGTCGCGACCAACGCGCTGCTCGAGAGGCAGGGAGAGCCGTGCGCCCTGGTCATCACTAAGGGTTTCCGCGATTTGCTCTACATCGGGAACCAGGTGTGTTGGGGGCACGGTGGAAGATCGGAGGGGGGCGGGGTGTAGTCATAGTCGTGCATGCCGTAGTCGTTAGATCATTGATCTCGCATCCCTACAAAGCCGGGACGGAGCACGCCGGGTTCTCACCGGACCAGGCTCTCACATGACCAAGCGCGAAGCACCGTGAGGTATTCGGCGAGTCGCATGAAGGGTGCGCTGCATCCTGCTAAGGGTGTTCGGCATCTTGTGCTTACTTCCTTGCGTACGGATGACAGCTGCGTATGACTTCATTTATGTCTAGTGCTTTCACTTCCCAGAGACAGTTATGAGCATGTGTATCTCCCTCGAGGGTGCTTGACCAATTTAACACAACGTGGTGCGATCATCCCCATTGCGTGGAAGTGAGGGTTCTCGACGCCGCACAACATGATCTACTCGACCACCATTATGGTTACCGCCAAAAAAAAAACGGAGGTAAAAAAAATGTTGAAACCTGGTATCCGAGCTCACGAGGTGATCAGCTTGCTTTACAATGTCGTTGCCAAGCAACGAAAACCCAACCCCGATGGCAAACACTTGGGGGGGGGCTCGTGTTTTGCATTCCTTCAATGTTAGACAATCGACCAAATTGGGGGNGGGGGGGGGGGGCGTGTCGTGTCTTACCGCGAGACTGTCGGTGAACCCGGAGGTGTGCGAGGGGGGCTAGCACGGTAGTCGCCGTCGCCTCAAGAGCAGCTTAGAAAGGTACAGACCGAAGTTTACACAGCAGTGCTAGTGTTGAATACTTGGGGCTTCTACCCTTTTTATGTGAGCCAAGAAAGAGCGGTGTCTGTTATGTAGTGCTAGCACGCAAGGTGTCGGTAAGGGCTACGCACACTTGTCGTTTCGCCCTTCCCTCCTCTACCCCTACCTCTCTCCCGTTGCGTGTTTCTGCTATTCACAAATGTTCGGTCTCGTAAACATTATTATGGTAAAATTCAAACGAACCGAGTACAATGTTGTGTTTTAACTACTGTCCAAGTTGTCGACCAATACGTCGTCTGCCTGTCTCTATATATAGCTGGCCCCTTGCTTCGCGACCTAATATTCTACGCTCTGCTTTCTGTTCCGTTTGTCATGAAACCGTCTTCCAAGCCGCCCGCCCGGACCCAGTCAATACGCAGAAACATTCTACGTTCTGCTTTCTTCTGTTTCGTTTTCCATGGAACCGTCTTCCAAGCAGCCCGCCCGTACCCAGCCAACACGCAGACACCACATGCGTGATTATCCGATCCGACCCGACCCGACCCGACCCGACCCGACCCCCCAACCCTTTTCCAGTCTCGCCCGAACATCTTCGACCTCGAGATCCGGCGGCCGGAGCTGCTGTACAAGGCCGTCGTCGAGGTGGACGAGAGGGTCATCCTGGACAAGAACGGCGAGGGGGGGTGGGAGTCCGAAAGCGTCACCAACGACGAGAACGCCGACGTAGCGGTGGTGGTGCAGGGCGTGACCGGGGAGGGCGTGAGGGTCGTCAAGGAGCCCGACCTGGCGACCGTGCGCGGCAACCTCCAGGCCGTGCTGGACCAGGGCATCACCAGCCTTGCCGTCGTGTTTCTGCACAGGTGAAGCTTGGGGTAGGGTCGGTTTTCGTCGTTATCCATTCCCCCCTCGTTCTTGTTGTTGTCTTTTTGTTTTTTGTTGTTTGTATGCGTGAACTTTTGTTCGCTTTTCAAAACCGTAAATGGTACCATGGGTCATAAGAGCTTGTTGAGGCTCAAGCGGAGGGAAGCGGGGGTTGGGAGGGTAGGTCGGAGTGGTTGATGGCGGCTCTGGTAGGTGGGATGGGACGCCGCAAATGGTGATATTAAACCCCATTGCAAGTGAGCGCACACATCGGATGGGTAGCGGACGAAGTACCCCCCCCCGCAGAAAGTCCACTGATGTGCCAATTGCTGGTGGAACACTATTAATAAGCTCTTTCTTGCCCTACCGGCATGGCCACAGCGGAACTTTTTTTTACAGCCTTCTATATCACCGTTTCCTCGGTTCATCAAACGACGCATGTAGATTAAATCCACCAACACAGTCTGCATTGTTTCGTTTTTTTGTGACAGCGGTGGTCGTATCCCCCCTCCCCCCCCCCC